CAACAATCCTTCCTGTGAGTAGAAATGGTAAGAGTGGGAACGTGAGAGGTATCCTAGATGGCGGAAGCCAGAGGTCCTACATCACCAGTCGGACACAAGATTTACTAAGCCTACCCACTGAGCGAACTGAAACAATGTCAATAAAAACTTTCGGTTCTGGAGAAGAAAATCTAACCACCTGTGATTCAGTCAATTTTATTCTAGAAAGTCACACTGATAAGGTACAGTTGTCCTTGTCAGCCTTTGTTGTGCCCACCATATGTGAACCACTGCAATACCAACTTGTCTCACAATCCCGCCACAATTACCCTCACTTACATGACCTAGTATTAGCTGATGATTCAATGGGAGAACTTGACTCGGAAGTGGACATACTTATCGGTTGTGATCAGTATTGGGACATAGTGACAGGAGAGATTCGAAAGGGAACAAATGGTCCGACAGCTATCAACACCAACCTTGGATGGGTCCTGTCCGGACCAGTCGAGAACCATTCACAACAGAGATTGGAAGCATCTGTAAACATGTCATCCACTCATGTTTTGCAGCTTGAAACCCCACCATCCCAACCAATGCACCACGAAGATGACCAACAACTGAGACGATTCTGGGATTTGGAGTCCCTCGGTATATCAAAGGAAGAGAAGTCGGTTGTTGAAGAATTCACAAGTACCATAGGTTTCAAGGCGGGAAGATATCACGTTGAGTTGCCATGGAAAGAGCACCATCCTTTACTGCCTGACAACTATGAAATGAGTCGTAAACGACTGTGGAGTTTACTCGAGCGCTTGAAACGTGATCCCGAAGTCTTAAAGGAGTATGATGCAGTAATAAAGGATCAACTTACCAAGGGCGTTGTCGAGATTGTTGAGAAAGAAGATATTGGAGAGCTCGGAAAAGTTCACTATATTCCTCATCACGCTGTGATCAGGCGAGATAAAGAGACAACCAAGCTAAGAATTGTGTATGATGCATCCGCCAAAACATCTGGTCCGTCCTTGAATGAATGCCTCTATACTGGGCCCGCAATGACCCATAACATCATGGACATTATTCTTCGTTTTCGAAGCCACAAAGTAGCACTAGCGGGTGATATAGAGAAGGCTTTCTTGATGATAGCGGTTTCAGAAGCTGATCGTAATGTTCTACGGTTTCTTTGGTTCGATGATGTTTGGAGTGACCAACCTAAGATTATTGTCTTGAGATTTACGCGTGTAGTATTCGGAGTATCATCCAGCCCGTTCTTACTGAATGCGACTATCAGTCACCATATCGAACAGTACCGCGCTCAAGATCCTGCCTTTGTCGAAGCCTTCATGCGAGCTGTTTATGTAGATGATCTAAACTCGGGTGGGGATGATGACAAATCTGCCTACACTCTTTACAAGAAATCAAAGCTTAGATTGGCAGAAGGTGGATTTAACCTTCGGAAGTTTGTTACCAACTCGCCCGAACTGTTGACGAAGATCAAAAGTGAAGAGAACCCTCTTCCTAGAACTAATTTGGAGCCTAACCCTCAAGTGGACGAACCGCCAAACGATTGCGTAAATGAAGATGAAACGTACTCGAAGATTACGCTAGGAACATCCAATGAATCCTCTAATGAAGAGCACAAGGTTCTCGGGGTAGCGTGGAATTTTGTTGAAGATGATCTTGTGTTTGATCTTAGTCATGTGACCGAATTGGCATCCGAGTGTTCCCCAACAAAGCGAAATATCGTCCGTCTTTCTGCAAAGTTCTATGATCCGATTGGCTTCATGTCGCCAATAACAGTTCAATTCAAGATGTTATTCCAAGAACTGTGCGGAGAAAAGTTGAATTGGGACGATGAAGTACCCCATGATCTTAAAGTAAAATGGGACAATCTAGTTAATGAACTAAAACAAATGAATCGCATTCGGCTTTCTCGATGCTATTTTCGAGAGGTCGACGACCCAGTTATCTCCTGCATTGTCCATGGATTTGGTGATGCCTCGAAGGCGGCGTACGCCGCAGTAACCTACCTGGTCATGATTACCACAATTGGCATCAGAGTAGAGTTCTTAGCAGCGAAGACACGAGTCGCACCAATCGAGAGACAAACAATTCCGAGACTAGAACTTCTATCATGTTTGATCCTTGCAAGGTTAGTGAAGAATGTTCAAACCGCATTACGAGATGAAATTAAGTTGGATGATCCAGTCTGTTGGAGCGATTCGAAAGTGGCACTTTTCTGGATCACAAATGGCAATAAGGAGTGGAAACAATTCGTTGAAAATAGAGTGAGTGAAATCCGGAGCCTCTTACCCACAGCCACCTGGCGTCATTGTCCCGGTCGAGATAATCCTGCCGATATTCCATCCAGAGGAATAAAACCGACGGAGCTTACAAGCAATGAGCTGTGGAGCTGTGGCCCTGAGTGGCTAACCGATGTTGAAACACACTCTTGTCAAGATGAGAAGGAAATTACGCCTCCGAAGGAATGTCTCGTTGAAGTTCGATCCACCAAGTCGAGAACTGTTAACCTAATTGTGAACACCACACCCCAAACCCTTAGCAATATCATCAATATCGAGAACTTTGAAACCCTCGACAGACTGGTGCGAGTGACGGCTTATGTCTTACGTTTTGTGAAGATATTGAAGGCGAAGACCAGAAAGAGTGACATAGACGTAGAGCCCAGTTTAACAGTGAATGAGATTCGTGAAAGTAGAGAATTGTGGATCAAAGAAATGCAAAGAAAATTGCCCGAGAAGAACCAGTTTGAACAGTGGAAGGCAGAGTTTGGGCTTTACACTGACGAGCAAGACATCTGGAGGTGCAAAGGTAGACTGGAAAAGGCGAACCTACCCCAGTCAGCAAAGCATCCAATTCTAGTTGACAAAGAGCATTATTTCGCATCATTGATCGTTTACGACAGCCACAGAAGAGTGATGCATAATGGAGTCAAAGAGACGTTGACTGATATAAGATCGCAGTACTGGATCGTCCGTGGGAGGCAGTTTGTGCGAAAGTTGATCGGGAGGTGTTCTATTTGTCGGAGATTCGAAGGCAAACCCTATCAAGCTCCACCACCACCTCCCCTACCCGAATTTCGAGTACGAGAAACACCACCTTTCACGGCAACAGGAATTGATTTCCTTGGTCCGCTCTATGTTCGAACACACGAGAAGAGCGAAAGGGTGTGGGTATGCCTTTACACATGTTGTGTAACGAGAGCAGTGCATTTGGACATTGTACCAACCCTGACAAAAGAAGGATTTATTCGAAGTTTTCGGAGATTTACCGCGAGACGCGGTGTTCCGTCAACGATTGTGTCGGACAACGCCGGGATGTTTAAGGCGGCATCGCGGGAGATCAAAACGATGTTGAGAGATCCAGAGATAAGGCGATTCTTCGTCGGCATGAACATCACCTGGTCGTTCAATTTACCCAAGGCACCCTGGTGGGGTGGAATTTTTGAAAGACTTGTCAAATCCACCAAGAGGTGTTTAAAGAAGACTGTTGGAGGAGCTCAATTAACTTACGAAGAGCTCCTGACGGTGGTCGCTGAAGTGGAGATGATATTGAATTCCCGTCCAATATCATATGTTTCTACCGAAGATCTACAAGAACCACTCACTCCGTCACATTTGTTAACGGGACGAAGATTACTGAGTATGCCAGAGCAGGACATTGGCAATGACATATTAGATCCCGAATTCTCGTTAAACGATAAGGACTTAAGTCGAAGAATGAAGCACTTGAGCACACTAATGAATCATTTCTGGACCCGTTGGCGTGACGAATATTTAATGGAACTGCGCAATTCACACCGCGGTAAGAACGACAACGGAAAGGGAACTATCCGTGCGGGGGATATAGTTGTGGTTCACGACGAGTCGCAACCTCGAGCATGTTGGAGATTGGGCAAAGTCGAAAGGTTGATCAACGGAGAGGACGGAAACGTGCGGGGAGCGATCGTTAGAATCAGTCCAAAGGGGAAACGGCCGACGACTTTGAAAAGATCGGTACGGTTACTTTACCCACTAGAGGTAAGGTCCGACTCGGAAGCTGAAGAAAATCGGTACGGAAAGAACGAACTTGACGAAGCGATCGGAAATGAAATGAACCAAGTCGAAGTAAAGAGACCAAGACGTGAAGCGGCGAAGCGGGGAGAAGAACGGCGAAGGAAATGGATCGAGGAACTGAATGACAGCTAAGTAGCTAGTGTAGAGATATTGCGATAGTAGAAAGACTACTTGCATTGACAACGTTGATAATTCAAATTTGTAGACTACATAATTGTAGTTTAGTTGTTTCACTGTTTGTTGACCAGTAGTTGCATGCACTGGTCAACGGGGGGAGTGTCAGAGATTGCGTAATATTCTATGACGTTTATTTTGTGAACACATGGAATACTAATGAGACGAGCGTAGAGTTTTCATATGGCAGCGTTTTTGTAATAAAGTTTGTGTTATTTATATTTTAATGAGTCTGAACCACGCATGAGTTGAGCCTTGAACCTTGGAGAAAGGAGTCCTTTGAGAGTTTTAATCTAAATATTTTACAGCTAGAGCAAAAACACACCCACACAGCTTTGTTTTTTATTTTTCTTGAGAAGGAATAACTGAGTTACAATGAGACCAGTATCAACAATTTCAATAAGGTATTGTACAAAAATATTACAAACATAATACACTTTAAAGACAGAAAAAGTTACACAAGTATGTCACTACAGAAACTGTATTCTGTGATATATAGATGATATTGCTTTAAAGAAACTTGCAGCTTTTAGCACTTGTCTAAGGGCCTGTTTATATTGAAACTGGCTGGCCCGCTAAGTGAGACAGCCCGGTAAGTGAGATTTTGCTGTCTAGTTATTTTTATAGTAAATATTATCATTTCTATGGACAAGCGGGCAGGCCTGGTTGCCAAGACCAGGATGGAAATTTCTCCACATAAACAATCATAAGCAGGCTAGCCCGGTTGCCGGGATGAAAGTTCAAAGATACTGCCGCAAGCTATTTTTAACAACTGTCAAAATAATGTCAAAACAACAAAATTGTCCCGGTAAGTGGGATGAAATTTTCTCAAATAAACACAAGAGAAATCATCCTGCTTACCTACCTTACCGGGCTGTCTTGCTAAGCGGGCCAGCCCGGCTTCCATACAAACAGGCCCTAACAGTCTCTGTCAGGCAATTACAATGTTCTAATGTCCAAACTCTAAAGTTTTATAAACAAGCAGAACAGACCACTTATTGCAAGTTGTTAGTAAGTCATATCAACATGTGAACTTGACAATACAGTGTATAAACTAAAGTAATTCAGCTTCTACACATGAAGCGACTTTAAACACTATCCTTACACTTTATCAATTCATTGAAGTTTGTACTTAAAAGACATTCTATTTGTGGTATTAAATCATAAGACATATTCTATTTGTAGTATCAAGTCACATCAGGATTTTATAATCTAGCGTCTTTGGACCCAAGTGATCTAGAGTTCTATCTTGTTAAAACCTATCCAAGGAAAAACAAGAAAGGGATATTGAAGTAATGGTGTTTTTGAGCCAAATAAATTCGAATATCCACCAGTATAAAAGCAGTACTCCACTACTCCGTATATACCGAAGACAAAATGGCATCATAGCGAACACATTTTAATGATGCTCAAATTTATATTCAGTGCGCTATATTTTTAAAAATATGACCCTGTTTGCTTTCTAAATACAACAAAATTACTGCTTTACCTTCTGTTCAAATAGTTCCACAGATAAATCGAAGTCACATTTCGTACTACTTGAAAAAAAGCTGTTTTTACTGTCGAAATGACAACTTCCCAATATAATTTTCTATTGTCAACACTGCATTACACTTGTTTAGCTCGCGCATGCGCAGTATAAAAGATGGGACATGTTTCCGCTTGAGTAAGACTTCTGGTCCTATTATCTATTCTGTGCCCAGGGCCTTTTCAGGAAGGAGGCGAAGGGCAGCAAAGGCCCTGGTCACAGAATAGGAAGTTATACCAGAAGCGTAACTCTAGTCGTTTCCCTTATTGTTGGTGAAGGCTATTTCAGATACGGTAGAGCACCTAGTCCCCAGGCCTTTACCAGCGCGACCGCGAAATTCAATATGGCGCCAAGCTAAGGAGTGGAGTTCAAATGGAGTTTATATTCTATAATTTCTATTGTTGTCTTATGATCTTTTTATTCTTTTTGGTTGGTAGAACTTATATTCTGATATGCCAGGTATCTTACTCTTTACCTGATTAATCTGAAAAAAGATTTTATAACAGAATTTTTCTCAAACATAGTTTAAATTAATATCTATATGTTTCAGTGAATGATATGCTTTAAAAGTAAAAAATAGATTGGCCAAGATAAGAAATTTTTGACAGTGAACTTTTGTTAATTATAGTTTCAACTTCAATTTTAAAAATTGTAATAACAGCCTAGTTTATATTCCATAATCCACAGAGCTTGAAAATCCATGCGGAATGTACAAATTATTGACTTTTCGCGTGAAGTTCTGTTTGAATTTTTCAGGTACTAAGTTATATCTAGTTATCTTGTTATCGTCTCTATCTAGCCTAGCACAGACCGTTCAAGATTGCACTGTTTAATTAGCACCAACACTAACAGTCATGGTGGCAGGGATGGATCCAGCATAATCTGGTAGGAGGGGGGGGGGGTTGATCTGCTAGCTCTAATGCCGAGTTATGTTGGTCATGCATGCCACCCGCCCATCAACTTACAGGTCAAGTCTTGCTTGACTACTGTATTTGAATTGTAATTGTTGTTCACAGTTTGCTTCTTATCATGTTATCGATATCACTCAAATTACTGTATCTCATTTTGTCTCTATAATATTTTTTGTTTTATCATGAAAAATAGCACCCCCCCCCTGGCTAGGGAGGTGCACCTCCCCCCCAGTAAATCCATCCCAACATACAGTTGGGTTTATAGGGGGAGGGGAGGGGGGTTGACAGAGGTACACACCCTTGGCCAACAGGGGAGTGTAAAAATCGAAAGGGGGGGGGGGTGCACTACAAATTGAATTTACCATACATCTGAGCATTTGAGATATTGTATATAATTAGTATTACAAATATATTGCCACCTTGTAACCTTCATGTGGTATGTGTAATTGGGAAGTATCTTACTCGTCAAGCAATGCCGGGTTCAGAGTCCTCACCTGTTCCCCTAGCAATCAACAATATACAATTTTAATGCCAAATTGTGTGCCAACATGCAAAATGGACTCTGCACAGGTTGTGAACTACCTTTTCATTTCATGCTGGGTGAACATTATCGTGAGAATAGCAAAAAAAAACATATATTCACAACTAATGTGTCCTCTTTTACTACTTTTGTAATTGTCTTGTTCCATGACCTAAATAAGCTAACACACTTAGTAGCTCATGCTTACCTTTCAACTGGCACATTAGCAATGGC